GAGGAGAGAGGAGAGAGGAGAGAGGAGAGGAGAGGGAGATGGAAATAGCCGCGGCTGTCCCAAATAGTATCTTCTATTTGTTTTGCCCGGGCTTGTGGGCCATCTTCTATTTCAACCGGTCGGGTGTTCAAAACCGGGCACGCTTTCAAATAGAAGATTTTCACAACTAATATCTTCTATCTTAGGCGTCCGGATTATAACTAAGTAAAGCCAATCTGGCCAAGGACCTAGAAATCTTATCCCACTTCTCCGTAAGTACCGGCTGGCACTTGGCACGTACTTTAGGATTCCAAAGAGAAACTTTGTAGACTTGAGAGTGCACATGGGAGGGGGTCAAAGACCGGTCAGCACCAAATGCGAGACACATTTGACACTGAGGTTGACTGTTCCCAAGCCTCTTCTTCTAGCTCTTGTTGGAGCCGAATTCCCTCACGCTCTTCTTGGAAGCATTCCTGCCATCGACTTCCACCGCATCATTCAGCAACCGCGGAACTCAATGAACCCCTTCCCTGAGCACCTGCTGTTTTTGTGCACGGGAGTCTGACCTAAGAAATGGATCGGACTCATGATTCGATATTGTTTAAAATTTGAGGTCATCGTGCATGATCATGCATGGATGTCTAATGACGTTTTTGCCGTGAAAAGCAAACCGGACTGTGCGGTATCACAACATACCACAAAATTCGAGCAATTGTTCCGCTCAAACTTTGCTAAATTGCTCCACTTGGAAAGCTCTGCTTTGCGCAGGGGCAAATTCATGATTCCAAGTCATGCCATGACCCTTGCTGCCCTGCCCTTGAACGACATGATCTCCCAGATCAGAAGTGGGTACCTCCCTTGCACCTGTTAGCAGGTGAGGCTTCAAACAAACCAACTCCCATGACCCCCGAAGTCACCGAACATCACGCCTTCCTCCCGTGCCGGCCCGTGCCATACCTGCCGGACGAAATTCAGGTCACTCTCATTCTTCATGAGGCGATCTCGTACCTTTCCCGAAGGTGTGCGAGTTCTCAAGTAGTGACCGTACATGGACCGTGCTGTCGCTGTAAACCGCGAAACCATACACCAATACCTTGCTACTAGTAGCTTCTTGCTACTAGTAGCGATGGCCTCCAACCTAGTAGCGATGGCCTCAGGCCTAGTGACCGGGGAAAATCTCTTGTGAGTCTGAGTGGGCCCAAACTGGCCACAGGCCGATGCTGCCCACGAGGCACCGTCTCCACGTCTCTCTCCAACTCATTCGCCAACTGCTGCAGCTTCGCCACATACTGCGAACGAAGAAGTGCGGCACAAGATGTGTTTCCATTCCCTTCAACTGTGACACTGGAATGTGGCAAGCAGCTGGTTACTTAGCTACTTCATGTCACTTCCAGTTTCCCTTGTCGATCCTCTTCCTTTCTTCGCGCAAGGGTGGGCAACTATTGCACAGCCTTTAGCTGCAAGTTGCGGCGGCAGCCGCGTGCTGGGCCAGGCCCATCAGCTGTTGCCCAGCATCTGGCAGCACCAAAATGGGTGCGGATGTGTCCCTGCTCCACGAATCAAGTGAATAATTAGTTTTTCGATGTTTTTCGGGACCACCGGTAGAAGCGACACATCGTTTACGATGCGTAGGCACCAACCCGTGGGGCGCGCGGTTGGGCCCGAGGCGCCAAAGAACTCGTGGCGCAGCGTCTGAGAAGCACGGGGCCCTGTCTCAGCCCTGAAACCCATTGTCGAAAAGAATCAAACATCCAGGTTGCCACAGACTTCAATAGTCGCTGTCTAAGATCAAAGAAATCAAGCCTGCATAGGTGCGAATCCGTGCCGAAACGTGAGACATGCCGAAGGTCTCACGCAAGTCTCACGTGTGAACAAAAGAGCCCGCGGAAAGCGAAAACTTCACCACAGGTGTCGCAGGCTGAACGGCTGGAAGGCATCCTGTGCCACGAAAGAAGCGGGGACCCGATCTTGAGAGCACGGGATGTATGAAAACCTGTGGAGGAGATGAAGTTGAAGTGTCTTCTGACATAGATTCCAACACATAACAAATAATGATTCTAAACTTGACCAACATTCGACCACGCAGTTTGAACATGAATCCAAACAGAATTGGAGTCACACCCACACACTCATCATAGTAGGAAAACAGAAATGCCAGAACCTCCCGCAGGCTCCGCCTTGCTTTGAGACATCTATGCAACCCCACGGTCCTGGCCACTACAGGCTCAGCCACCTTGTTCGCAGTGCCTCAAAGAAGCAAGACCACTCGCAAAAGGAAAGTACAGTAGTTCAGTAGTTGAAATGAACACATGCATGTCAAAGGGGTCTTGTGGTACCTGCTCTTGCAGTGCCGTCTCTCCACGCAATCCAGCATTACCAAAACAACGGCAGTGAACATGCTCGAATCTCACTACACACCTTCCATCAGTGAGGGCTTCTACCGTATACCGTTCTTGCTCCTAGTAGTAAGGCCCGGAGCCCCGTTCGTAGCGATGCCCTTGTTCCGTTCGTAGCGATGCACCACACCCGACTGGCTCGGTGAGGCTTACCGTCCGACTTCGCAAACTGGGTGTCCACGCGGAAACAGGCTGCCTGACGGATCGAATCGCTGTGGGTCACAACCGGAGGACCGTGGTGGACCACCGAAAATGAACCAAATAGACTACCTGCTAGGTCAACTTACCATGGATATCCATGATTAAGGCCCCTGGTTTTGACCCACAACCACATAAAGTAAGGGACGTCAATACATTTCAAAGAACATCAAAGAACGGGTCTGGTGTGTTCAGCTTTGACTGAGCAATCCTTGATCAAGCACTTTTCAGCAACACCCAAGGGAGTTGGGAGGAGCGTGGAATCGCTGATGTGCAAAACTCTTGGGCTGCGCAACTCCTTGACTTACTGTACCAACTGCACCTACGCCAGCCGCCTTGCGACATGGAAACCATGCAACTTGTGGTCGGCTCCAAAGAAATGTGAGTAGACAAGAAAACCCTTGCATCAATGAAACGTAAAGAACCCTTGCAGCCAGACTAGACCCTCAAAGGAAGCTGGCGAAACGTCCCTGTTCGCATCGGAAATGGCGGGGGAATCCCCCTGTACATCCAGACCTTCACACGCTAATCATGACCCAACATTCTCTCCTTTCCCGCCCTCACTGAGGTTCTTGCGGTTTTTTCAATTGAAGGAATGCACGAAGTGCATCTACTGCAACCACATTTCCTCTGGGACTCATTTCCTTCACCTCCTCCATTGCCCTAAAAAGACCTCCTCACCTTGGCGAGAATTCTCTTCAACACCCAGGCGGGGGGGAGAATTCGCTGCGCTCAAAGCAGTTTTCTCAAAACCCTCACGCTCGCTGTGAACATGCCTGTGGTCGCTGCGGTCTGCGCAAAGCGCATGGAGTTGAGAGGCCGGATGGGCCAAGAGAGGTCACCTACAGTAACACCACAAAGCAAAGGCGATGGCCTCCAACCTAGTGGCATGATTGCCTCCAACCTAGCAGCGATGGCCTCCACCCTAATAGCGATGGCCTCCAACCTTATAGCGATGGCCTCCAACCCAAGAGTAACACCACAAAGGAAGGGCGATGGCATCCAACCTAATTTAGCAGTGGCCTCCAATGGCCTCCACCCTGATAGCCGTGGCCTCCAACCCAATAGCTGTGGCCATGGCCCCCAACCTTGTAGCAATGGCCTCCAACATAATAATAACACTACAAAGCAAAGGCCATGGATGGCCATGGCTTCCAACCTTTGGACGGGCATGTTCTGAACGGGCCAATTTGATCCAATTTGGGGACTCCTTGGAGGCTGGGGATTCGCGTGATTTGATGGGGAAAAACTGAACGGCTCCGAAGAAAGTTCCTTATCCGTGTAGGAGCGACCATCAAATAAACTTACGCTGCTTTTGGGGTCATGCGCAGTTTCGCCGTGTAGACTGGAGATGTTGCAAAATGTTCTATTAACTTCTAGGAGTATTAAGACCCAAGGGGAGTTTGGCCAAGTCATCTTACACACAGGTCTCCAGCATCCTTCGAAGTGCCACTTCAAACGCTGCAAGTCCAGTAGCAAACCTCACCAAAAAATGGTGGAACAATCTTTGTTTGGCTTATCTAAATTGTAAATTGTGATGAATTTTGGAACGACCTAACCCCCCCCAAGCTGGAGCACGATTCTTAGGACCCAGAAAAGTACAAGCCATGTCCTCCATCAAGAATCCTGGAAGGCTCTTGCGTTGTATGAGAAAAGTTCCCCCTCCCGTTTGCCTGGAGTACTGTCGAACAATTGTTTTGTTGGGTGCTATTGTCTTAGAATGACCATGATTGTCCATTTCAAGATAGGCCAAGGTGCATTGGGCAAGATCTCCTCTTGCTGCTCTCGACGTTCCTGCGGGATGCAGTACTGTGACCCCTAGTAAACTCAGTAAGCCTTCGAGACTTCGACTAGGGCTCGCTCACTACAGGCATTGTTCTCTTGGCTTTAGTCTTTATCCAAAGCATGTGGCAGTTTGACTTGATAATGGCACCTTCATGTCTTGTTCGGCCCAGGTGTGCAAGACTGCTTCCCAAGAGCTGCTCCATATTCTCTGGGGAAGCTGCTTGACCCGAAACGGACCAGGGACAAACACCGTTGGAATTGGGGGAAGAAATTACACACAAAAATATCAAGTCTTTAGGCCTGGAGTGGTATTTCTTTTGTCAACAGTCAACAGCTTGACATCCCACCTTCAACATCAAACATACTTGGAAACAGTGGTAAATCCTCAGACTCTCAGGTGTATGCTTGGTAAGTGTGGATATGGACTTTGCAACTGCACATTGTGTGTGTGTGTGTTCCGGACAGAACCACCAGCTTCGCCTGACGGAACAGAACTCGTTTGGCATACAAACTCCACGTCAATGTATCAAGAGTTTGCTGAAATGCAATTCCATGAGACAATGTCATCAAAATTCATTCTGAAGTGTCCCTTAATTACTATCTGAGCAGGCAGGACTAAGCAATTACAGCAAACATGGAAATTACCATCTATATAACCAAAAACAATGGCAATACAGCATATAGCTGAAAAACACTGCATAATGCATTACTTTTTTGTTTACCACGTCTGATATTCTTTTAGCCAAACTTAGCTAACCATGCGTTTTCTCCCGTTGCTTTTCCCTCCAATCCTCATCCGTCCTGGGGCAAGTACTTCTTCAAGCGCGGCAGGGCCTGTGGCATATACCTGAGAAACTACTTGAGAAGAATCAGGGAAGAGGATCACAAAGAACTTGCTATGTAAAGGCTTCTCCTGGAGCCTCACGACTGCCATTTGCTAGGGCTTTCGATCTTAAACATGTACCAGGACCCACAAGGTTTGGTTGGTCACCCCTTAACCTCTTTCCTGAGGTATCAATAGACATCCCTCGGCCCTGGTAGATGTTTCATGATGTTTCTGCTGGGATGTTTCCATTCTCATTCATGGCCAATGCGGATGATGGCCAACACACACAAAAAATTGGTGCGCTCAAAAACGCATGCTGCAAAGGCCCCGAACAGCTTTTCAAACCGCTCCATGTTGTCCGGATGCCAACTCTTCGCGACGATCAAAAAAATCCCGCCGACCTAGCCGCCCCAGTTCGCTCGCCTCGAAGCGACGACAGACGCCCAGTCCGATGCCCAGTCCAGACACCTGCCAAGGGCCTCTGAGAAGTCTACGGCCAAGGGCTTCACACAGAGCTCGCCCTCGGTAGACAAACCTCAGACTAAGTGACTACCGTGAATTTCCGGTGACCTACACTGTGGACTTGGGCCATGTTGGAGGGATACAGAAGTCACCAGCTTTTTGACTATATAATCATGACACACCGATTGTTCCCTTTGCAAAAGCCAACAAAACTTCTTGTTTCCTTTCCGAACAGCGAGGCTGCCTCCCCAGATCGGCCTTGCCGTGAGTTGTTTTGCTTCAATGGCTCCCATCGACACGTACACAATGGTCTCCATTGGCAACTCGACAGACGAGACCAATCCGGGCCAGAGTATTAATACCCGAATCGGCGCTCTTCCAGACCCCAATGAACGCCAAGGCCCGGGACCTCGTCGGGCCAAAACATCGGCATCTCTTGCATCCTCAGCCAATGCTGGTGGCCATAGACGAAGCGTTAGATGAGAGAAAGGTAGCCCTCTATTGCGAGGAACCCACCCAAAAAAGATGCACAGGCCATCTACACCGACCATCTTTGAGGCCATGTTGGTTTCTACATCTGAAGGTCCTCTCATATACATCCTGCAAAATCTCTCTCCTCAATCACATCGCATGTGCAATACATATATATATATATACATATACCTCCGAAGTACTGGACTACTTGCCCAAATCACATCACTCCGTAATCACATCCCAAACTTCCCTTCAGTTCGTCAGGTCACCATTGACCCGCCGATCACCACGGTCGTCATCATCACGAGACGACCCCCCCGTCGCTACGCAGGACCTCACGAGGCGAACCCCGGCGGCCCCTCGCACGGCGCTCCCGCGGGGGCCGTCCCGCAGCACGCCCCGCAGAGCTCACCTTGCACCGACAAAGAGGGCACGAACAAAGTTCGTCCGACACCATACTCCCTGTGGTTCATCCTCTGCCTGTCACCCTGTTTCCTTTACTTCTTGTGAAGCGGTAGTACGGGAAACCTAAATAAGGTGGACCCTCACTGCATCCCTTCCTTGCCAGGCGTTGACCTATTCCTTCGAGTAAAGTTCAACTCAACATCATTCAACCAATTGGCAACACCCCAGGTTGTATACATTGATGATTGCTTAGACCAGCAACGCTTCACTAGTGAATGTACCCTCCCTTATCAATAAGCCCGCTCCATTGGAATGCCAAAATCGACCGATAAGCAAAGGAATTGCCCCTATCGGTCGCGCAAGGTATTGATCAACTCAGAAATGTTTACTATATTCATAAGGCTCCAGGCTCTCCGTCACTACATGTACGGAACTGTCACCACTTGATATATTACAAATCACATATCAACTATATAAAATTATACTGTACACACATATATATATATATATTAACACACATGTTATGAAAATACCTACTATATTGAAGAACCGACGCCCACATCATCAGCTGAGTTTGCCTCATCTTTCCGGCTGGGCCCTACACAAATAGGTGGCACAAAGTATGTATATTCAGATTCGGTTGGCGCGTAAGGTAAACGAGGGAGCTGGAAGCAACACTGGGAACCTATCATAGCCCATCTCTCCAAGGCACGGGGCCAAGTAGAGCAGCTCGCCGCCCTGGAACGGCCCGACGGCCGCAATGGCAGAGGGTCCACTATTGTTCCTGAGCAACACCCTGCAAGAGTTCTTCAAACATGAAACTCCTTGATGGCAAACCCTGTTCCCTCTGCCGTCCGACATCACAACTACTTTAGGAGAACTAGGTCCTTGACATCTTGCGCGATTTTGGCGACCCCAATGTCAATGTGACACCAAAGTCAAACAATTTAATACACAAATATTATGGCAGCTGAGTCTTGTGAAAAAAGTCGCAAAAACACACCCGTCATTGCTCATCCCTCTCAACCCTGCCACTCCCAGAAGTGCCAAGCATTGCACCAACAACGTCACACCAGGCCCAGGCACTGGTCCCTATGTCGCGCGGCGCGGTGATTGATGTCCAAACTGATCGAGGCGAACGAGAAGGTCTTCTGCCGCAAACACTCCGCGAGGACCTCGCGACGACATCCGGAAACTCCTGGGCCCGCGGTCCGCGTGAGTCTTGACACTGGATCGATCCCTGACAGTCCCCACCCACCAGAAAAACATCTCCAAGAACTCGGGCCCCTGCGACAACCGGCGGGAAACCGCAGGACATGGTTTTTGGTATCGAGCTGGCGTCCTGTTATCAACTTGCTGAACAAGCCAGCACACCTGAAGCGATAGCCGTCCAAACTTGCAACAACTTTGGCTCAGAGTAGAGTCACCCACAGAGTCACCCAGGACTTGAAATGACTTGGACGGCACTCATCACAAAGCACAACCGCCCCAGGAACATCACCTAAAAATAGGTGTCTGTCTCTAGCGTCGCCATGCGTCAGTACCAGCAGCAAATCTGCATCGAGCAACCTCTTCTTCTCCAGCAGTTGCCTGGCCAGGAGCTCCGCGATGCGTCGGCGCCTCCCCGGATCTTCGTCCATAGCCCGCCCAGCTCGGGCTTGTGGTGGGCGCACCCACTGCGGCTGTGAACCGATGCGCTTGCGCTTCCTGGAGGCTGGAGCAAAGAACCATTCTATAGCCTATGTTGCTACGACCAAAAGAGTAAACAGTAAACATCCCTCATCCGTATGAGAGCCTTTCTGGATTATTCGAATGGATTTCCCTGTGAAAAGCCATCATCTCTGTCTTTGATCTTGTGTAATCCACATGTGCCCCGTGCCACGTACACCCAACGGTTTGTCCGTTTGGTCCACCACCGTGGAGCCACTGAACGGTCCCACCTCCCCGCTCAGGCGCCCCAGAACCAGTCCCATTGAGAGCTGAATCGAGAGAGACCAGCTTGAAGAGCTGCTGGTTCTCCAGCTTCTTTGCCTGTGTTGAAAGGAACGAGCAACAACATAAAAACCGGGCACGGAGGATAAGATTTCACAGCAATTTCTGGTCAGTGTCATGCACAATCCAATATGATCCCATGGTAATCCTGACGTATTATTGACACAGAGTCTCCCTACCGCACTCTACCCAGTAAGCTGTCAATCGGAGCCATCCCCAGTTCCACGACATGCACACCATCCTGATTCCTGCGGCTGTGGGTGGAACCACCGGCAGCCGCTTGGTTGACCCAAAACAGTACACCAAATGTGGACCCAAAAGGGGTCTCAAGTTGGCATCAAATGACCTACAGGCACTAGTTATATATTCAAAGGAACGTAGGTTTGGACCCACCGGATTCACCACCTTCAGTGCCTCATATCCCCTCTCCACCCACGTCCATCCGGATGTCCGTCCGGGAGCACGCCAGCTGCCGCTGCCGCGCAGGCGTGCCCCCACAGCGCAACTCCAGCTCGGTGTAGACCGCGCCAAGTTCCAAAGCCATTGAGAAGTGGGGGTCAGCCCAAACCTGTACAAACTGCAGGAGCCCGGATGGAACATGGAAAACATGATGGAAGTGTCAGGCCAACTTACAGGGGTGTATCATGTATCTATATACTGTATGTGTATATATATATACATATATGTTTTTTATTCCCGAAAGCATTGCGAAGGGTTCTTCCGGAAAATCCTTTGAACACTGACACTTCGACACTTACACTTCGACACTCACACTTACACACACACACACACACTGGAAGAGCGAAAGCATGCAAGCATGATATGCAAGGGTGGGCATGCAAGCATGCAATGACTATGCAAGCATGCAATGAGTAGGCAAGTGTGAGTATGGAAAACTAGCACGGGAGATGTCCTAATGAAAAACATTTCCTCACTTTATAAATTCTCTCTTAAAGGCGGAGTGCGGGACGAACAGCATCAACCGAAAGTGCAACCCTCTGCGGAGATCGTGCATGTCGAGTGCGCGAAATGCAGGTGAGAGTGCGATGTGTCCGGTGTGCGCGCAACCCTCTGCGGAGATCGTGCGTGTCGAGTGCGCGAAATGCAGGCGAGAGTGCGGTTCGCCGGGTGCCCGCGCAACCCTCTGCGGAGATCGTGCGTGTCGAGTGCGCGAAATGCAGGCGAGAGTGCGATTTGCCGGCTGCGCGCGCAACCCTCTGCGGAGATCGTGCGTGTCGAGTGCGCGAAATGCAGGCGAGAGTGCGATTTGCCGGGTGTGCGCGCAACCCTCTGCGGAGATCGTGCGTGTCGAGTGCGCGAAATGCAGGCGAGAGTGCGATTTGCCGGGTGTGCGCGCAACCCTCTGCGGAGATCGTGCGTGTCGAGTGCGCGAAATGCAGGCGAGAGTGCGATTTGCCGGGTGTGCGCGCAACCCTCTGCGGAGATCGTGCGCGTCGAATGCGCGAAATGCAGGCGAGAGTGCGATTTGGCGGGTGTCCGCGCAACCCTCTGCGGAGATCGTGCGCGTCGAGTGCGCGAAATGCAGGCGAGAGTGCGATTTGCCGGCTGCGCGCGCAACCCTCTGCGGAGATCGTGCGTGTGGAGTGCGCGAAATGCAGGCGAGAGTGCGATTTGCCGGGTGTGCGCGCAACCCTCTGGCGACTTTGTAGTACAACTTTAGTACGCGGAGTAATCTGTGGAGCTGTAAGCTGAGAACTGGCGACTTTCTAGTACAACTTTAGTACGCGGAGTATCTGGGGAGCTGGAAGATGAGAACTGGCGACTTTGTAGTACAACTTTAGTACGCGGAGTATCTGCGGAGCTGGAAGATGAGAACTGGCGACTTTGTAGTACAACTTTAGTACGCGGAGTATCTGGGGAGCTGGAAGCTGAGAACTGGTGACTTTGTAGTACAACTTTAGTACGCGGAGTATCTGCGGAGCTGGAAGATGAGAACTGTACAACTTTAGTACGCGGAGTATGTGGGGAGCTGGAAGCTGAGAACTGGCGACTTTGTAGTACAACTTTAGTACGCGGAGTATCTGCGGAGCTGGAAGATGAGAACTGGCGACCCACACAAACACCCACACACTCCCTCAACTTCCACGAACGCACACATACGCAGACTCGTTTCCACACGGACATGGACACACGCACAGAAACCCACACACTACCTCAACTCACTCGACTTAACACTTCTCACTACACACTTACCGGATAACTCGCACTCTGATTTCCTACGTGATGAAAAATGCTTTCGGGCCACTCGTCGTCTAGTAATCATATCCGCCGACCCCATCCGGTATGCTATATGTACTGTATATGGACCAATCAAGAAAATGGGAACTGTTTCCGGGCTATGCAAGTGGATGTGGGCAACAATTGGTTGACAAGTTCATGACAGTGATGATGGATCCTGCTTGTCCAACCCTGCTTGGAAGTTCAAGTTCTGGCATGGCGATGCATGGAAGGGGTGGGCCCATGTCCGTGTTCCACCTTGATTGTTCAGTCATCTGAATCAGCAATTGACTGAAAGTTCAAGTGACTGGGTAGACTCAAAAATGCGCTGGAAGCATTTTTCCCCAAACAGTTTACTGTTGGGGTTCTACATAAGAAAGAAAAGAGCTGGCCGCACTCACTGGCCGCGCCCCTGAACTCTGTGGCTGGGCCTTGTCCTCCTCTTGGCCGCGCCCCTGAACTCTGTCAACTCTGTGACTGGGCTCTGTGGCTGGGCTCTGTGTCCAGGCCTTGTCCTCCTGAACTCTGTCAACTCTGTGGCTGGGCTCTGTGTCCAGGCCT